ATTCCTGCATTTGTCCAAGAATCGCCGACTACAGTGGCGGCTAAGATCCAAAGTACAGCAGGTACAAGCACAACGCCAACTGAGGATATCAGCAATGTATCATATTCTGATTATCTGACGTAGGAGGTTTAACAGGTTTTTTACAAATCATCGATTTGTTTATCTTAAGAAATGCATTCCCCATAAAGGTTTTGAAAATATTTTAGCTCATACATGGTTTACATCCATTCACGTTTCTTTGCTGTCCATCAGCAGAATAGTGTACAACCAAGTGTGCAGAATACTAACAAAAAGGTTCTACAGGGTACCTTTAAATGTAACATTAAATTGTAACTGTAAAATTAGCTCAGTTTATTCCCGCCTGGTCCGTCACAAAAGCAGATATTTTGACTCAAGTCAAAAAATAGTGGGGTTACAAAAATGTAATGTCGACATAGGGCACCATATTATACACCCAGTAACATGTTTTTGTCATTGAAAATGTTACATTCTGACGTTCTTTATTTTCAGTGTGAGGGAAGATTTCAGATATGTAAGAAATTATACTATTGTTATGTTTTTCCAGGTGACGTCCTGCGATGATACAGTAGCCTGTCCAGATGGCACCACATGCTGGTAAAACACAAGAAGGCGGCTTCGCTTGCTGTCCTCTACCAGAGGTACAACTTTGGCTGCCATTTTGTAGACATTCCTTAACTTTGTTAAAAGCGTCCAAATGCATTCATGTTTTTTTTTTCTTTGCTCATATCATTCCCAGGCTGTTTGCTGTGGAAGATTTCATTCACTGCTGCCCACACTGGTAAGAAAATGTAATCTGGCTGCACATGACCTCGCTGATTAGCGGACACACACTCTGTGCGTGGGTCAAGAGATAACGCCCACAATCCCCAGGCTGGGCACACAGGGGTGAATGTTTCATGTGACTCCACCGCGAGTTGTCCTGATGGCACCACCCTGGCTGCAAGACCACAGAAGGAAGCTGGGGCCCTTGCTGTTCCTCTACTAAGGTTAACACCCAGAGCAACATGCATCACTGTACTTAAAACAGCTTTAAAGCTAGTATTCAGACTGCACTTCCCAAATCACTTGCGATATTGTTGGTTAACACAAGCAAGCAACAATTTGAAGCTTTTCACGTGTCCTCTAAATAAGGCGGTGCTAACAAGTGGCTAATTGAGACTAAAGAGGTTGTCGGTGACATTAAGTTTACCAAAGGGGGTTGCTTAGCTTAGATACAAAACAGGATTTTTTGGTTGTTGTTGTACACATTAAACATAAAAATATAACATTTTAATTACTGATCTTAAGAAATGCTGGGAGGTGAATTTTGTTACCTTTGGCAGAGCCAGGCTAGCTGTTTCCAGTCTTTGTGCTAAGCTAAACTAACAGCTGCTGACTGTAGCCTTGTATTTACCATACAGACTATTCCTCATAGTTATGTAGTGTTTGTGACTGAAAATATTCTTGCCATTTTGCTCAAAAGGCGGTCTGTTGTGACGACCACGAGCACTGCTGCCCTACTGGCACCACCTGTGACTTGACCAGCCTCACCTGTAACGATGGCTCTGTCTCAACGCCCATGCTTCAGAAGATTCCTGCATTTGTCCAAGAATCGACCACTACAGTGGCGGCTACGACAGCTACAACTATAACGCAAACTGAGGAGGACGAGGTGATGACGGATGAGGAGGAAGACGATTATGAGGACATGGAGGGCAGGGTTCATTGCGATGCCCGCACCAGCTGCCCTCAGTCCTCCACCTGCTGCTTCATGACCTCGATTCAGAAGTGGGGCTGTTGCCCGCTGCCAAAGGTGAGCGCTGCTTCTTCACCACATCACTGACCTCCAGTGAAAATAAAAGCTGCAATAGAGTCCTAAAACCTGGTAATGAGTTAGAAACTTTGCACTTCATGTTCCCTTGCCTCAAAGTCAGTGGGTTTTTTTTTTTGTTAGATGCCTGAAATAATATATATATGTGGTTAATACAAGCTCAAGAGTCAGTAAATACCCCACCCGTAAATGCTTTCACGTTTCTTAAAAAAGGCAGTTGCTAACAAGTGACTACAGAGGCTGTCGGTGACATTAAACATCAGCATGTTGAACACAGAAACGTATCTACTCACTAGTCCGCCTTTACAGCCTTGTTGTGTTTATACTCATGCAAACTATTCAAACTCTAATCCTTCCAACTTGTAGATTTTGATTGCAGGATTTAACTAGAAGTTGGAAGTGGTGGTGACCTTAAAGTCATGTGACTATCGTATAGTTAATTTATAGCCCAAGATTGGCGTTTTACTTCTGGCAATTGCAGGATTTTACTGCTTCATGGTATAGAATAACCACCATATATGACTACAACTGATCATTTATAAGAGGTATATAAATACTGAATAAATGCTTTAGAGCACACTGTAACGTAGTTGTAAGAATATAAGCATATAAGGCCATTACAACATCCACTTTCCATTTATCCAATGTTCATATACTGCTTATAAATGCTAAATAGGGGGGGGGTTCAAGTAAAGCCTAACCTGAATAATTTTTTTCTTTTTTATGGGGAGGAAACACCCCACCCACGCCACAAACACAGTTTGGGACGGTACTGTAAATCACTAAATGGCATCACTTTCTCAAACCCCGAGACATATATAACTTTAAATTATTATCATTATTATTGGTGATATACGTCCTCTTCTGCATCCTTACAATCACTAGTGCAATTCCCTCAGGCTTTTTTAAAATGATACAAGTTAAACTTTTACTTGTAGAATATTACTGCATGATCAGTTTTTTCCACTATTATAAGCCTATTCTCTTGAAAGAAGAACTGGAAAACAGGATCGACGAAGTGAAAGGAGCATTTCCTCTTTCACTTCTCCCCAGGCTGTGTGCTGTGCTGATGGGAACCACTGCTGTCCAACCAACTATAAGTGTAACGAGAGCAAGACCTCGTGCATCAAAGGAGAAGTGGTGATTCCGTGGTACACCAAGCTTCCAGCCACCATCAGCATCCAGGCTGATCCCAGCTCGGTACAGTGCGACGCTCGGACTCAATGCCCTGAACACACCACCTGCTGCCGGCTGGTCACGGGCCAGTGGGGCTGCTGCCCGCTGGAAAATGTGAGCACTGTGTGTGTGTGTGTGTGGAGAGATTACTGTGACGAGTGCAGCTACTTTGACATGAAAATATAAGACGTACTATCAGTATATTTTAGCTTTGTCAGGCTTTGCTTATGTAAAATAAGGGTTGTAATTTTCACTAACCTTGTTATACTGCTGTGTCTGCAGGCTGTGTGCTGCACAGATAAGGAGCACTGCTGTCCACAGGGTTACACCTGTAACGTCGCCTCTAACTCCTGTCAGAAGCTCATCATGCTGCAGCTGCAGACTGTCCCGCTAACACCGGTGTATCTGCCCGAGCACCAACCCCAGTTCAACCCCTTAAAGCTCAGAGACGTCCAGTGTGATGAGAAGACCAGCTGCGGAGATGGAGAGACCTGCTGCAAGATGTCCGCTACTACCTGGGGCTGCTGTCCAATGCCTAATGTATGATATACAGTAATATACATTTTGGGACTTATTTGCTTTCTTGCTGAGCGTTAGAGGAAAGGAGTAGTCAATGTTAATATATATAGATAAATCTTATACATCTTTAATGAAGGGTTTGTGTCTGTTTCTGACAGGCCTGTAGGCAGATTATGAGACAATGGCCATCTGGGCATTAAAATATTAAATTAGTCTAGAAAATATAAACATATTGTATAAATGTTTCTTGTCCTGGTTTAAAGGCAGCCTGAACTTATTTTAGCTGTTTATTCTGTGATGGAAAGTAAAACTGTATTTCTGTTTTACACTCCTTTATACTTCTACTACTCTGCTACATTTCAAAAGGGAACTTTTTAGTCCACTTTTCATTTGATAGCTTACTTTACAAATTCCGTTTTTACATACAAAGCGTGTCATCATCTTCTAAACTGTGATGCATTGTTACATGTTAAAATACTCACCTGCATATAAAGTAGTAGTAGTATTAGCTTCACCTCACCCAGCTGCAGCATCACTGTGTCATATATAATATGTGGTTGAAAGTAATTAGGTTAACTTGAAACTTTGAGTTACCTTGAGTACTTCCTGCTACTATATACTTTCACTCTATTACATTTCAGAGGGAAATTTGAATTACTCCACCACATTTATCTGAAAGCTATAGTTACTTGAACAGCTACAAGATTCAAGATTCAAGATTCAAGACGTTTATTGTCATATGAACAGTAAGAAACACAGTAGACATTACAACATTAAATGTTTATGTTCATAAAAATGTTCAGATATAATAGTCCAAGAATGTCACTCATAAGTACTTGTTCTTTTAATTAAGTCAAATTTTTAAAGGACATAATTTACTTGTAGTATGTTTATACAGTAATATGGCTACTTTTACAAAGAACTTTAATTTTGTGTTGATTCTGGCAACCCCTGTGGACAAAAGCGGTAGTGTTTCCACCTCCTTGTTTCATTGATTTCAAGGGAAATTTTGAGCTGGTGACGGGCATTAACAACCAATATTCTCGCTGATGGTCTGGTTTGTTTATGGAGGTCACATAAAGCACCTGATTGTTTCTTCCACCACCGGTTGAACGTTACCTTCCTTCCTCTGTCCTCTCCACAGGCGGTGTGCTGCAGCGACATGCTACACTGCTGTCCCACCGGCTACACCTGTACTGAAGGTGGAGACTGCACCCAGGACACCAGGCTTCGCTGGTACAACTGGCACATGTTCCTCGCCAACAAAAAGAGAGCTCTAATAGTGTGAAAACATCTCTCCGGCACTGTCATTTGTTTCTGCAAGCAATGCACTAATGGGAAATAATGTAAAGGGATTTTATGATGATTGTTAAATGCTTTGTTCTTACAGGACAGTAGTAAAAAGGTGAAGGGGACATTGTGAAATTGAATTGCACTTGGGGTTATGATGTTTTTCTGTGATCTTGGAGTTGCTAAAGACATGTATGTTGTATGTTTAAAAGTCAGATAGGTCCATGTTATTCCAAGCATGCAGTATACTACATGAAACTCTACTCCATCCATAACAAAAGTCAATTGAAACACTCCACAGGCAATATTATTTTATTCACTGTCAGTCAATCTGTTTCTGTATTTTCTGCTTCAGCTGCCTTGTCACAATTTGGGGCATAATTTAACACGCTATCATTCATATTCATATCATTTTGAATATGAATCAGTA